AGCTCCTCCAAAATTAAATCAAATTTTTCGAATTTTATATGGGAAATAGAGGAGCTCAAGCTGCGTCGAATGGCGCAAGAACGAATTCTCTAGCTCATTTCGTTTTTGAGAAAAGCGGATTTTAATGTTTACAGTGTAACGCGTGAACAAGCCGACTACTGTAAGCGAGTGGAACTTGATGCATCATGAAATGCACGGTTTGTATCGCCTCTAAGATTTTTATGCATGATGATCAAGTTTTTGAGATATGTCTTCCACTGCAAATCTTACGACAGATAAACACCTAATAATTTAGGTGAATTATCTCACTCAGAAGAAAATATTATTGTTATGATAAAGTTGCGAAATAAAAACTGAATTGTATTGAATACTGATTGCAGTCGATATGAATATGAATACAGATAGGTATTCCAAAATACATGTTGATATCACATGTATGTACATTTATTAATAATGTGGATCAAATTTAAACGGTGCGTACAATAACCACTGAATAGTTGAACAAATTTAATCACTAGATGATATTCACACATGTTGCTCCATTATAATAATATCGAAATACACATTGACGATAGAATATGTTTATGTTACATCCTAAATTATATTCATAATTTTGAAAACTGCCTTGTTTATACTGTTTCTGTGACAATCAATCAAACTAGATTTCTTTTCTAGTCATAACACTTATATGTTCAAGCTAGGATATCATACACGATTCCGTATAGGATTTATTTATGAGCCAATAAGTTATTGTTAGATATAAGTGAATGATGAAATTTTTCTATTTTAAATAATTGCTAAGCCAAGTAGCAACATTGAATAAACAATCACTATGAATAATACAAGTTCATTAAACAAACAAGAATTTATTGTGAAGTAAATCTTCAATATATACTTCAAAAATTTTGCTCAAACTTAAGTATCGACTGGTAGCAAGCGTATAGGGTGATACTTTAATACAACAATTCTCATCAATGACGATATCAGTATCATTACTGTTAGTATTTTAAGTGATATTTGTAGAGTATAACTTCTCTCAAGTTTATTGATACCACTCATTAAAATAAGCTTCGTCTGCAAAGTTTAAATTTATGAGATCATCACCATTTCATATATATCATGGATGCTCTATTGTTAAAATTCAAGTAAAAAAGAACAATTGAACATATAAATACAGATTTACGAAATATTTGTTCGTTATTTTTCATTGAAAAACAAATAAAAACCACAATAGAAAATTATCAAAAGCCAGACAATTCCGACTCGATGTTGGAATTGAGTTGGATGCTAAAAAACTTTACAATTCCGATTAAGCATTTGTTCCATGAGAGATTAGATAGAGTTTTATCAAGTCATAGTAGAGTTTAGAAAATTAGCTAACCAGAATCAACTGGTGAATAATGGACTAGAAACCAAAGTTGCTAGTGATTACTTACATGCACTTAACATTAAACTAAGATGTTAGCAGTTCATCAGCCAAGTGCTACAACGACCGTTTCGAAACATCGAAACTTGGGACGATCTTTAATGTTGTAGTGTTCCAACAACAGGTTCTAAGACACTGCAAACTAATTCTAACATATACTGTATAAGACACAACTTATATAGAAATAAAGAAAGAAAAGAATGCTCTTGAGTCTAGTGTACGTGATTCTGTGACACACAGAAAACGAACATCGAAAAAAAGCGATGAAAAAACTTCTAGACACTTTGGACAATATTCTTCGCTTAGGTCATAGTTCTGACTCAAGCTTTACGTCTTTCGAGTTTGAAGGTGTTTGTGCACTGACGTAATTACGGTTTTTTAATCGCTTTGTTCCGTGTGTCACAGAATCACGTACACTAGACTCAAGAGCATTCTTTTCTTTCTTTATTTCTATATAAGTTGTGTCTTATACAGTATATGTTAGAATTAGTTTGCAGTGTCTTAGAACCTGTTGTTGGAACACTACAACATTAAAGATCGTCCCAAGTTTCGATGTTTCGAAACGGTCGTTGTAGCACTTGGCTGATGAACTGCTAACATCTTAGTTTAATGTTAAGTGCATGTAAGTAATTACTAGCAACTTTGTTTTCTAGTTCATGATAGAGTTAATTGCTATTTGTTCTGATATGGGTCAGTCTTTTATTGCCAATTCTTAATATTACAACCATGTTGCGTAAATAAACATTTGGCATAGTTTTTTTCTTTCGTTTCTTGCAGAGTGGTGATATATCATTTTTTGGACAATAAATGTGTACCTATTACCACTGGAAAGAAAAGAACAAGTGAAAGATTTATATCTTGTCGTGTGGAATGAATAGCGAACTAAGGGGCACATTATATTCCTACATCAACGACAGATTGAAAAAGTGCATTCTAGAATTGTTTTATCATAAAGACGTATGATTTCTGATGTACTCTCGCATATATCATTGAAGTGATTTTGCTATGTTGCCTTTGTTTCATTTATTTTCACTCTAAAATTTTCAGAAATATGTTCATCATGGATAAATTGTTTTAGTATTTTACAATATCAAGGAGTATAAAGAAAAACAAAAAAAGGTTGACAAATGCAAAAAAAAACCTATAAAAAGAAACGAAAAATAAAAAACAAGGCAAAACCAACATATTCACTTCAGAAATAAACAAAAAAAGCACACTCTATTCTACATCTAGCAATGAAAGGTACGCACACACCACTTATAGCACCATAATGTGATAGTCAATTATGTGGAAGACAAAAAAAACGCCTAGTAAGATTTTAATCAATTTTCACAACTTTTGATATTTTGCGCTTTTGATGTTGAAAAACTATTACATATGTTCTATTCATATTTAAAAGAAAATTTTAATACAGGCAAAAAAAGGCACTTATCTTATCGAATATTTTAAAGAGATAGTTAACGAAAACAAAAGAGAGAAGAAATTTTCATTCCAAAAAAACAACAACTATTTGAAACGTTTAAAAGTTAACGGAATAATTTGGTATGTGTGTTTGACACTGTGTTTAGTTGTTGAGCAATAAGATAACATTTGATAATCTAAGATAATCTTTCTACGATCGGAAGTTAAGAAACACAATTAGAAACAAAAAAACATTGTTCTGCAAGATAAAAACAAAAAAAATTCAAACTTTTAGCCTAAATACGTGGCATGCAATGAAAAAGAAAAAAACCCTGTTGCACGCATATAAACATACACACATACACACACAAAGAGGGGGGGAGGGATTATTTACATGCGTGCCTCAAAAGGGTATCAAAAAAACATACCAATAATTTCTTGTTATCAGACACCTAGAAAAAAAAATGTAATAGTTATCTACCTATTTATCTAATCTAATAATGTTGTTATCTGACAAAGAGTAAGATTTGCTATGAGAAAAAATTACTGATCTGAGATTCTACTACTGTTTGAAAAATGCGTTAAGAAAATTGTCATGAAACTTTTGATTTGTCGATATCTGATCACATAAAAATAATGGACAAAATACAAAATTGCATAAAAAAACAGCGTAAAAATAGAGTGAAAAGACAGGTTTCCATGAGAAAACAACTATCATAATACAAGTATATTCATATACGCATAAATACAAGAAAATACTGCAAATGTTTTCGAACATTTTTGCAGATGTATTGAACTTTTAATATAGGTTAAAAAAAGAACTATTGTAGATTGAAAAGGCACTTTATAAATATATATCGAATAAAGGCTGTTCAGACTTATTAAGAAGACAAACGTAAAGAAACTATCTGAGAGGAAATAATCATTTGAGTGAAAAGTTGAACGTCTACGATTGTTTAAAGAATTGTTTAAGTCACTCCTCTGATGCATATAGAGACGAGCATCAGTCGAAAAAATATGTTCTACACTGTATAACTCTATAAAAACATCATTTCTACTGCAGAACCTATTCTCAACAACAACAACAAAAAAAAAAAAGAACAAATAGAAAATTTTTTTTGAATATCATCTACAAACGAGTGGTAAAAAAGTATGACAACAGAGAATCAAATAAAAGAAAACGAGAATTTACAAATCCTGCATCTCTGTTTGTTCTTTACACAGGAAAAACAAACTGTTCTCATTTCTGTCTTATTATTGTTGTTGGAGTAACTTTCTATAGTAAATTCTCACAAACATTTTCAACAAGTGTATGAATCGATTTTAAAACATCAGAAGAAAGCGTTGTTGTTAGAAGAAATGAAGAAGACGATGATGACAAAGAAATACCAGAATGAGGAGGAGTAAGCGGAAGAACATATTCATTTTTTGGTGGTTGTAGTATTGTTGTTGTTATGCCATTATCATCATCATCCTCATATGCAATAGGAATAGATTGAATAATATGCAAATGTTTAATTGATTCAATTATATCAATAATGGGTGATGTAAAATCATTATCGCCATTCGTCTTGATTGTGGTTTTTTCAATAGTATCGACTATTATTTTTTTATCAAATGCTTTATCAATACTATTTGTCATTTGAGATTCAAAATCAGACTCAATTTGATTCTCTGATAACCCACCTTTTGACAATATTTGCTCATCATAACTATGTAAATCATTTATTGTTGGTAATGTTGTAAGCCAAACATGTTGTAAACATTCATCTGCTGATGCTCGTTGTCTAAAAAAGATTAGAAACTTTTTTTTTTCTACTTCTCTGATAGATATTAAAAACAATATATTTACTTTGGAATGCGAACAATTAATTTTTGAATCAAATCAATACAATTTATCGATATATTTTCGAATAATTCTGATGGAAAATCTAATACACAATGTGTGATATTATTATGTGTATCATGTTTATTTGTACCACCGAATGGAGTGTGTCCAGTTACAAGAACATAAATTAATACACCAATACTCCACATATCTGTTGCACGTGTCAATGGTTCATATGAAACAACTTCAGGAGCTAGAGCAAACAAGAAACATTTCTATGTAACAGTTTAAGTTATTCAAATTGGTTGTCTGAATCTAATAATCAAATAGCAGCCAGATCTCTTAACTCTCCGAGTTCCAGAACAAATGTATCTAACAGTGTCATTTACTTACTGATTGACACTTAATACAAGTACTCAAGAATTGACCAAGTTTAGATGTGAATCAAAAAAAATTCTGTAGTTAGGGATACAAAATGAGCAAGAATTCAGTGCAATAGAAAACATAAATTATTTTAGAAGTCACGTCTAGTTGCAAAACTAGACGTTAACGAACTTCTCTTCAATGTCAAATGGATGTGCTTACCAAGAAAGTCGGTTGTACCCAGTATTTCATGTATACATTCATTTGTTAATATTCTCGACAGTCCAAAATCACACAATTTAATCTTTGTACTTGGCCATTTCTCCATAAGTAAGATATTCTGAGGCTAAAATAGACTCATGCGTATGAATCAAGAGTTTTAAGAAATTAAAGTTTGCACAAGAAACTAACCTTGATATCGAGATGAACAATTTTATTGTCATGAAGAAATTGAATTGCTTCAAGTAGCTGTTTTGTAACATGAATAGATTTTGATTCATCGAGACATCCTTCTAATTCAAGAATAAATTGAAGATCGCCTTGTTGTGCACTGAAACAAAACAAAATTTTTGAATAATAGAAATAGTTTTTGTTTTTATTTACTTACTATTCAAGGATGAAAATGACTTCTAATGGTAAATCATAGACTTCGTGTAATGTAATAAGATAGGGATGTTTTCGGGATAGTTCCAAAATACGTAATTCATTGAGTGCATGTTTAACATAACGTTTTTTGATAAATTTTGCGGCATATGTTTTGTCTTGATCATCTTTTTTAATACATTTTTTTACTGTTGAAAATTTTCCACTAAAAACACAAGAAAACGTTGAAATTTGATTAAAAGTCATAGTTATTAGTTTCAGTCTTACCGTCCAAGATTTTCAGATAAATTATAGACCTTATCGAACGTTTCTGTGGCATAAAGATGTTGAAATTCATTGCATCCAGTTGATTTAAGCATACCATTTGATGTTAATGGTGATAATGATGACAGAATATTTGTAGTCTGCAAAAGTATGAATGATATGAAAAATATGCATTTTTCTTTTTTTTATGTTTGATCGCAATCATCTCTTTTTCTTCTACATGAAGTGTGTATTTTTATTTGACAAGATGTCCGTTTGTTTATATACACTTACAAGAGATTGTACTTCGTCTATCTCAAAAATTCAGCACATTTTACTGTATCAGATCTAGAACGCCTTTGTTATTTATCTTTTTTCTCATTACTTTTGCTTTTCAAACCAAAGAATCTACTTTTGTGACACCCTTCTAAAGTTTTCAATATTTAATTCAGACATCTTTCTTTAACTTTTATCGTAAGTCTTTTTAATTTTTCAAACAAAAAAATCTAATGAGATTATAGTAATAGGCACACACACACACTGTAGACACGATGCAATCAAATTAGTTTAATTTATCATAATACGAGACTAAATGAGTCAGCATGCACGCAAAACTGCGTCACATCAACAAAAAGAAAAAATGTACCTGTTAGTATTTACACTAAAAATTAGGTATTTGAGTTAAAGAAAGTATTTAGAACTAGCCATGTAATCATTTTACTTACATTGAAATGACGTTTCGATAAAATTCGACTTCGTGTCGGAGTTTGGCATACGGCCATTTTTCGTTTATCTAAAATAAAATTAATTGGATTTAACACAAAAATTTATTCAAAATTTAATTTAAAAAAGTAGACTTTGATCATTAACTTTTTGAATAGGATCAAATCAGAAAAAAAAGTTTTTTCGAATTGTTCCCCATATCTTTTTATTTTCTTTCTTGGTCATCTTCAGAAAAAAAGTGCAGATAAACGAAGTAAAAAGGTTAGAAACATGCTTCATAAAACACTTAATCTGATATGAATTCTTAGAATATGGGCCAACTAGTATACGATTTATGCGTTAATACTAAATAGCATATCGCATAAGGTCTTCTTATCTAATAGATTTATCATCGTTTATTACGTATTATATCTCATCCAAAAATGCAGTATGTCACCTGTTTTGACCTTAATTCTTCAGGGCGTATAGACGTTGTTCTTTTTTTTCAGACAATCCATTTTATAACACGGTTATCTATGGATAAAACAAACCAATAGAATGTTTGATACTAAAGCTGATTTATTTTGAAATCATATTTTCACATCAGTTACTAAATCGTATCTTATTTCTTTATGCTTGTAAAATTAATCTTGATCGTTTCATAAAGGTGTCGCTACGACCTCAACTGCAAAACAAAAATACGCAGTGGGAAAAACAGTAAATGCATGTAAAGCTTTAATTGAATTCCTAGAATTTATGCGAAAACGTTTCGAAAAAATGGAAGAACTTTTTCAGATTTACATAAAGTAGATTGAAAATATCTTTTGTTTGTGCTTCCCATAACGAAATAGCAAGGTCATCAGTAAAAAAGTAAACCTTGTTCAATATATCTATAGAAAATTTCACACTTGTAAAATTACTACAGAAGTAGTAACGGGTGGCGCAGAAATAATGGGGCAATTTTGTTTTCTATCTTTGAGGCACTTAACAATCGTTTTAAAACCTGGTTCTGAAGTCATTCGATAGAGAATTCATTTTTGTACAAAACTGTCGAATGCGGTTTTCAAATTAGTCTTTCTTGTGAGCGCGAACTTCAAAGATTAACACCTACTCAATAGTCCATGTGCGAATTCTTATTTTTTCCGGATATCAATCGATTTGTTTCAGCGTGTGCTCATCAAAACCGATGGTCAAACCAAAGTATTTAACATCAATAGATAGGGAATTCTGTGCTTTATACTTCCACGACCTTTTCAAGGTTCTTGGTGTCCTTGTTCACAAGAAAAAGGCTTCGAACTAACACCTAGTGCAATTTTTGGACGCATTTCAAAAAAGAATGTTTTTCTAAGACAGACTTGTCATATGACACGCTGACTCTCGTACCGTCGTATGTAGAGTTTAATTCAGGACAAAATGGTATAAATTGTGACTTCAACATTGAAATCATTTTGGCTGTTTCGAATTAAAAAAGCACAATGTCATAGATCTGTCAGGAAATAAGTTTTTTTGGTGTTTTCACATTTTCGTGTTAATCTTTGAAGTTTTTGCGCCCACAAGAAACACTAATTTGAAAAACGCATTCGGCAGTTTTGTACAAAAATGAATTCTCTATCGAATGACTTCAGAACCAGGTTTTAAAACGATTGTTAAGTACCTCAAAGGTAGAAAACAAAAGTGCCCCATTATTTCTGCGCCACCCGTTATAATTAAAACATAATAAGCGCTCTCTGTTAAAAACTTAGTTGTAGACACGTATTTGTTTCCGACTTTCTTGATTTATACATATTTTTTGTCAACTTTCTTGATTTAGTAGCGATAAAAAGTGTCAGAGCAATATACCCAAGCAGTATGATTCCGATTATTATGATCACGACTTTGTCAAGGTGTAGGAGCGAGAACATACTACTTTTGCTTGCACTATCGCATTACGATCACGTCAAAATCGCAATTGTCTTAGCTTGATCATACTTGAATCACGAAGTAGCGTAGCGTCGATCGAAACTTATGAGAGATAGCGGTACGAGAAAATTTACTTGGTTTGACTTCTAACTAGAGTTGCCAAATAGTCCGCATTTTCCGGACAGATTCCGCTTTCTGTAGTTTTTTTGCACAAAGTGTCCGCTGTCCGCAATTTGTCTACTTTTCGATAATTTGTTGTTTTTATTCTTTTTCCTGCAATGAGGGTTTTTATATTTTCTCATAAAAAGTTTCCCGCCTCCGGCGACTACATGATCTGTCAAAAAAATGCTTCTGCCACTTTTATAAACAGATGCGCACTGTTTTAGAAACTAAATCAGAAATTTGCCCCGGAAGTGGAGGTTATCGATATATAGATAAACATTTCATATTCCAGGTAGCAATACTAATTCCTATTATTTTGTAGAGAATATATGCAATTCGATGCAGTTTTCTATTCCCATATGTTAATTGAAACATGACGGACTTTTAACAAAATTATTTGCTCGTAATATCCCATGTAGTAAAAATCGACAAGAAAACAGCATCTGATTATTTGTGTGTTTAATCGTTAACATGGGATGTTCGATAGGTTCGATTACCATTCTAAAGAAGAAAAAAAGAAGTCCCCTTTCTTTCATTCATTTATTCATTGCCTTTTAAAAATTATAAGGAGTTATCCTCACCCTTGCTTTGTTTAGAGACGATATTATGGCGTCAAATAAGGTTACTTAAGAATTAAATATAGGAAACAATAATAGCAAAATTTTATTCATACATAATTGGATATCGAGTTACTTATATAAGCTAGAATTTTAATTTTGTTGAAGTTTTTTTATGAGTGAAATTTTTTAAAACAAGCAAAGGTTTCGACTGTTTTGGTTTTTTAGCTTCCTGAAATATTATATATGGCACCATTCACAATGTATCATGATCGATGTATTTATTTTTCAAGTTGCGGTATCCGTACCGTAGCTAGTAAGAAATGAGATTTCTTCGTCTCGATTAAGTCAAATGTATTTTGAAATGTCTTTTAGAGAAAATCTATTTTGAAAAGATTTTCTAGAAAAGTCGTTTTCTAATTAACGTCCTCTGGATATCCTTTAGAGTTCTCAATTTCATGTTGTATTTTCAAACTAAACTGCGCTGAATCTTAACATTTTTTTCGAAAAATACCCGGTCCATATGGGATAGAAATCTGCTAGTTTAACCCTTTGATTACGCGATCCGGAGATATACGTTTTGAACTTTTGCCCAGATTACGGCGGTTATGACGTTCTCTCTTGCTCAGGCCATATGAGTGCTCTCTCTTTCTCTCATGTTGTCATTATCACAGCGTCATCGTGTAGCAAGCTGAATCATCGAAAAAATATTCAAGTTGCCAGTTTTTGAAGTCAGTTGATTCGACAACTGATTGAAAAGTGCGCTCAATCTAAAGGTCGTCCGAGTCTGAGACACAATCCTATACGTCTCACTGCACGTCATCTTCCAGCTCTGGTACCAGCTACAGGAGCAAAAAAACTGTACGGAACTGAACTGGATGCACAGAGACCTTGTGTGGTTTGTAGTCATACTACCAGACTAGAGCCCTCCAGGTTAAATCTAACCTATAGGTTAGGTTAGGTTTAGGTTATGAAATGTTTTATAGGTTAGGTTGTAGGTTACGCCATTGATTTGTAAAATAAACGAAAAAAACCGATTTTGAATGACCACATTAAAACAGCGAACACTTTGAGTAATAAAGCGTAGTCCGAGTGGAATTTTATCGATTGAGGATGAAGTTCAGATTGAGGTTCTCTACTTTAAACTGAAAAATAATACAATCAAAAAAGGAAGTACAGAGAAAAAACTTCCGTTTGCTAAGAATAGATGGCAAATACACAACAATAACAGAACCTTCGTAGCATTGAGAGCCTAAAGTGAAATTCTGGTCCACTCTTAAGAGAATCTCCCTATTCAGAAAACTATTTTCCAAAGATTGCATTAAAGAATAAAAGACTCAACCGATTCATTTCTATACTCATGTAAAATATGATTTATTTTGTATAAGCTTACCTTCCAGACGGTGTTTAGACAAAAAACAATAACGATCTGAAACAAAGCTGAAGTTTGGACTTCTGAAACCAGGTTTGGGAAAAAATTGCAAAAGGTTGTATTAGATTAACCTAGGTTAGGTTACGAAAAACATTAATAGGTTAGGTTTAGGTTGTGAAAATTTTTATAGGTTAGGTTATAGGTTGTTAAAAGTGGTAACCTGCAGGGCTCTATACCAGACATGGAAAAAAACGTACCGATACACGTTATTAGCGTGCCATTTGTAACGTTGGGCTTTGTGTAGTAGGCTGTTCTGAAGAATATCATACTCTAAAATATTTCTAAATGCTTCTGTATGATAATAAAATCTACTTCAGACTTTTTGGAAAAAAATTAGTTTTTTGTCATTTTTCCAAAAGAAAAACCCGTAACCAAAGGATTAAACAAAAATTAATTTTTTCATTAGCGAAGGAATATAAAAGAAACACCAATCTGTATTTTTTTATCGTGGGTATGATGATTATAATGAAATGAAAAATAAACTATTTTATCTAGTAACTAGGAAAACAAGATAGATTTTCAATGGATTTTTGAAGATTTTCACAAGTCCTAAAATATCCAAGAAACAGGATTGTTCGAGACTACAACTGTTTTCGTTCTATGCTTTATTAATTTTCTGTTTTAAATATGACAATATGATATTATTGTACAAGTCCTAAAACACAATAAGCACCGTGTTTTCTCGTGACCAGTATTGGCACTATAGTAATACTCATGGATTTCAATTTTTTGTTCAAATCGATTGTAAAATGTAGAGATTTTTTCTCAATAGAACACGAAATATAAATGGATCTTTCTAATGTGTTGTTGTAGCTGGTAACACGTTGGATAAGACACGTAGTCATGTTTTAGGGAACTAATTGAAAAAAATATCGAAAAATGGTTCAGTTATTTATCTACAAGTTCATAGATTTTCTAGTTAAACTTTTTTTCTATCAAGTATTCACTCTAACAACAGCATGTTCATTCAGGCCTCAACTAAAAACAGATGCACTGACCAAAAAAAAGTAATAATCAAGAAAATTCCAGCAAAAAAGCAATAAATTAGTTGTCCAAATCATCATAATAACAGAAATTTTGTTAGTTCCAATATATATTTCTTTCATTTTTTTTTACTTCTTTTGTGTTTTTTTTCTTTCATTCGATATTGTAAAAGTCACAAAAAAACCAAAGAACAAAAGTAATGAAATAACAGAAAAAATTTGGTACGCGCGTACGTTGTAAATAAAAAGAGCAAAGAAAGAGCTTGAAAAATCACTTTGTGTGGGTGCGTGTACGCACTGATGACAATTCTACTTAGTATCTTTGTAAAGTTTATTCCGTGTTTTCATATAAAAAAAAACACCACACACAACACAACCATCAATTGAGCGTTTTTTGGTGGACGTTTTCTCTCACAGTTCATTATTGTAAAACAGCAGCACCAATCAGTAATGTGTTTACACGTATTTTATGAGCGTTTAGCAATAATAATAACAACAAATGAATTAAAACGCATGAAAGTTAAAAGAGAATGATGTATATGCGATCATGTAGAAGAAGAGATAAAAGTCAAATAAAATAAAATAACATAAAAACCAGGAAATGATAAAAACGATTGGATAGGAATAAAAATCATTATGACACAGAGAAACCTATCCTATTATGCGTATTCCCATCCGTCTTCACCCAGAAAAATAATAATGAAATGAAACCCACAGTTCATTTTTTAGCTGCCTTTTTTCTTTTTTACTGAAAAACAGAAAATGAACGAAAATCATATTATATGTATAGACTATGTATAGAATGAATAAATAGAACTTTTTAAAAGAAAAACAATGGCCAATAATAAATAAATGAGCGAAGTGTATGAAAAAAAACAAAATCATTCTTGCTGTGTTTTCAACACAAAAATTAATCAGGACAATAAACTTGGACAAATAGAAAAAAAACATTGCACACAAGAGATCAGTATGAACAAAACAGCACTGAAAAGTTGATGTATACAAATATCATTCCTATACATATCTAAATTCACGAACACACACCAACGAGAACAAATAAAAGAACGCGTTAAGTAAAACAAACACAAAACTTATTGACTATTGCTGAGACGATACATTTGTTAATGTTTGATTATTTGGTCGTGGTTGTCTTGCTTCAAGTATATCGTGTTGAGGTTGAGGTTGACGACGATTGGAATAACCATTAGACATATGATTAGAACTACCATTTATTTCACTGTTGCTATTGTTTCCATTATGTTGTTGTGATTGATCATTTGCATAACCATTACCACCTCCATTCACTTGTTTGGCATTATTATTTACACGACGATTGTTATTTACATTGTTAAGGATTTTATTAGGAAGATTTGAGGGTGATGTATTGTTTGAAGTGTCTGACTTGTTGTTGTTATTCGATTGAGTCATTGGTCCATTTCCGTTTCCAGAACGATAGCCGTTAGGAGTATTTCGTGCAGAATAATTAACAGTGCCATTCGTTTGTGATGGGGACGGTGGTGGTGGTGGTTGCTGATTGCCTTGATATGCGTTTACACGACGCGGTCGTCGTCGACGAGTGTTCATCTCTACAAAAATGAGAAGAAAAGAAAATACATTAGAACAAATATCCAAATCATCTCGATAACACAAAATAACATTTCCAAAGAATAGAAACAAAATATATATCAAACAAGAAAAAATTTGATTTTCAAGATAACATAATGTGTTTTCATTTTTGAAATTTAACTCGCTCGATAGGGGGAAAGTTTTATCGCTATGAATACAACACTATTTAAACGATAAGAAGTTTATAATGATATATTTCAAAGGATAAAGGCGTTTGTGATCAGTGATCTACAACATTTTTCATACGTACGCTGTGAATAATTCATATCTCCACTATATGAATTCTCATAATAGCCATTTGGTTCTTCATAGGTACCATTATTATAACCATTTGTTTGAGAATAATAATAATCATCCATTCCTCCATTAGTCCATTGTTGTTGTTGTTGTTGTCGATTCATGACACCACTTCCATTACGTGGTGATCCCGTCGTTGCTTGCCAATATCCATTCGGAGGTCCATTTCCATGAGAATTTCCATATGGATGATTTTTTGATGGCACCGGTGGTTGTTGAGATCTGGTTAATGCCAGATAATCATCATCATAAACCGGTTGATCGCCGGGTACTTGTTGTGGTTGATGTTGTTTATCTTCTCTATTTATACGTGGATGAGTAACAGAAATGGCTGTCCCTCGGTCTTTTATTTGAGATCTTCCATTTATGTTTGACTTTTGTTGTATCGGTTGTGACTGAATATCATTTAACAACGATGTCGATAATGTTCGCTCATTATTTTGTTCATTATTAATTACTTCTGCATCATCAATAGTACCCATCGATATTTTCTCATCATTCATAAGAGTTGGTGTTTGAACTACAGTTGTTGTTTCGGTTGTCTGTGAAGTGTTATTGTTATTTAGTGTAATATCATTAGTGGGTATATTACTCAATGCACTACTATCTTGTGATGAAACCGTGCGCGTTCGATCTTTCTCTTTTCTATCAAATCTTAATACTCTTCCAAAATTTGATAATACCGTAATAATATTTTCGTCATATTCGAATCGATGTGATGTTCTCAGTTCATCAGCCAAATCATATCGTTTATCTGTAACAAATTGTTTAATATCGTTACGTAAATCATCTATGCCATACATATCTAAATGATCACAACGATCAATACGTCCGCGTAGTTCAATAGCACGTTGCTGACGACGATTTATTAGATTTAAACCTTGTTTTTTAACTTCATCCATTTCTAAATATAATTGTACTTCACGTTCTTTGATGATGGCTGTTAATTCTTTAAATATTTCGTCTATTTTTTTAAGCGATTGTTTTATTTCATTATCAAATGTTGATTGAACATTTACTAATGTTGATTTTTGACGTTGTAAATCTTTAATAGATTTTCCCAAAACTGAAATAAAAAAAGATGGCACGATAATATTAGTATTACCCTTAAAAGATAAAGTCATTTCATTAAAGGAGCTGCTGATAATGTATATACTATTCAATTTTAGTAAAAATTGTATGACTTTTTGACTGTAACCTTTATCTTAACACATAGATATAAAAATAGTACATCTTAAATTTTTCTAGCAATATTTAGATCATTATTGACTATGATAAAAGCAGTTTAGTCTACCTTCCTAAAATTAATATAAAAAAGTTATGCTCCCAGTAAAATAACGACATTTACCTTTTTTATTATTCATAAGGGCTGTCTTCGATGTTGTTTTTCCAATCGTTCCATTCGCATCTTGATGTTGTTGAGTTGAACTACTTGTTGTCGTTGTAGAAGTAACTGCTGGTGTTGCTAGCGTTTGATCTGGTGGTTGTTGTTGTTGTTCTTGTGTTAGATTCGTTGATGATGATGATCCAGTACGATTTCGAGTATTACGAAAACTGGGTCGTCGTCGTTGTGGTTGCGGTTTATTGTTATTGTGAAGATTTCTTGTTACTTGAGTTCGATCAATATCTATATTGTTATTCACGTTATTATTATTATCTACAATAGTATCGTTTTGGTCTTCAGCTGTTTGTTGTTGATCATTCGAAGAATAATCATCGCAGGCATCATAAAATTCTATATTATTGTTATGTACCGACGATTGTAAATCATCTACAGTCGTTGTTTCATCATAGCTATGTGATTCTATATATAAAAAACCAAAAAGATTTAAATTAGCAAAAAAGTCAAAAGTGTAACAGTTAGTTACATCGTGTATTTTATTTTTTAATCTATAGGAAATTAGAGATGTTACAAGCCTTGAGACCTTGCATCAAAGATTACATTTTTTCATTACTCAAAACCTCCAAGCTCTACCGAGCTTTTGTTTCTGACGTAACCAGTTTTCTGTGCTGTATCCGAAACTAGTGCTAGGGCTAGCCAAAATTAATAAAAAAGTATCGGGTTTCGTAAAGCTTAGTGAAAATTGACTTTTATCTGTATTTTTCAACAAGCTTTATCAAGCCCAGTACTTTTTTACTGATTTTGACCAGCCCTAGCACTAGTTTCAGATACAGCATAGAAAACTGGTTATGTCTGAAACAAAAGCTCGGTAGAGCTTGAAGGTTTTGAGTAATAAAAACATGTGATCTTTGATGCAAATTCGCAAGGCTTGTAACATCCCTATAGGAACTTAGTGAGTTTCCAGTTTGTAGTAAGTAAAACTGATTTATTATGTCAATAAACATTTGAAAGTCTAGTATAGACCCTTTTTAGCATGTTTAAGCTACTGTCAAAAACAATGTTTGATATCAATCAGATAACTTACCCCGACTGGAATAAGGATGAAAGGAAACATCTGTTGACGATGAAATATAAGATTGTTGTTGATCATATGTATTATTGTTATCTGTGCAAATCGATGGTGTTTCATTCACGTAAATGTTTTTATCTGCTAGTGAGGATAATGACAATGATAATGTAGAGGGTGTAGTCGTTGAAATGATACTAGAATAATCTAAACAAGAAAACAAAATTTATTTATTTTTTTGCTTTTTTTAGTTTAATTTTATGTCCATACCATTTGTACTTGAGGGTACGAGTTGTGTTTTGTTCGCAAATCCATTAAATATGTTTAAAACACGTTGTGACGGTCTCAATGGAGCATTAGTTGCATGGGAAATCTGTGATGAAGAAGATGATGATGAGATTGGCGGTGGAGGTAACAGACGATTGTTGTTGTTGTTGTTGTTGTTGTTATTGGAGCGCGGAGTATTATTATTATTATTGCGCGCCCTTCCACCACCACGACGTAGCGATGTCTAAAAGTTAAAAGATAAAAATAATTGAAAATAAATTAAAGAAAAAAAAACAAAAAAAGAAGAAATCAATTACCGATGAACGATTATTCATTTCTGTCCAACCACTTAAAGCATCTTCAGCACCATCTAAAATATTATTAAAAAAAAGAAGAAAAATATACTATTTGAATTTAATTAAAATAAATAATCTATGATACATACTTTTTTTGAACGCTTCTATTGTGTCTTCAACCTTAGAATCATAAAATAATATTGCTAATTCAATTTGTTCACGTGTAAATTCATTACCAATTTGTTGTCGAACTTGTGCTACTTTATCTCGCATCGAATTTTTTTTACCAGTTTTAGACATAATTGGTAATGTTTTAATGATAAAATGAGACGGATGAATATGTTAGATAAAAAGAAAAAAGAAAATATCACTGTTTCGAGTTTTTAATAAAAAATAATAATAAAAAAAACAAATTTGGTTGGTCGATTGATTGGTATAAATGATTTTTATCTCTTATATTATTCAATGCTCTAAAATAGTAACAAAATACAAACTATTTATTAAAAAAAATCATCAAAAACTTTTGACTAAAATTTATTATCCACTTTATCTAACAATTACTACGTTTACTGAAGATTTGAATGGCATACCTCGTTTTATACAAGACTAACATACCTTCTTCATTATCTTTGTTCTACATCACACATATTTTTTCGACAATAATAGCAAAGCAAAAAGAAAAAAAGATGCTCGTCTTTTTCTTTTTTGTTCGGTTACTTCTCTCTTTTTTCTTTTCTCGCCTATGCATGCGTACTCAAATCAAACTATATTTATTCAACCTGAAATTTACTGATGTTGATGTTTTTTTTTTGTTTTTTTTTCTTTTTCTTTTAAAAAATATTCTCTTTTTCTTTCTTATTGTGCTCTTACATCATTACATGAGGTTTTCTCGCAGTGATAAAGGAACAGTTTATGACTCTGTACTTTTTCTTTTTAACAGATTTTCTTACTTATCCAAGTCATTTATCAAGTGTCTTTTTTCTTAAAAAAAAAAATAAAATAAAATTCTACAGCTCATTACACCGAATATGAAGAAGAAGAGTCAACATGAGAAATCTTATGTAAAAGAAGAAAATATTTAATACTTATTTATTGTCTTTATGATTAAAAAGAATGTGCACCAAAACTTGAAATCTGTCTTTCTTTATCTCTAACCATCATATCGCACAAAATACCATGACAAAATTATCATCATAAACATAACCGAGAGAAAAGTTCAACTTGTGATAGTATTCACAAAACGTTTTTTATATTAAAAACAAAAATTTTTTAGAATGACTAAAAATTTTGCTGTTAAATGATGTCACAACATAAAAAAACATCAATATACTTTTGTTATAAGAAAACAAAAAAATCTATTACTAAAAACTCTCTTGTCCTTCATCTTTCTCTTCAAAATTTTTTGACTTTTAAAAAAATAACAAATATCAAGACTTTTTTGATCCGCCTCTACAAAACACCCACTGTTATCCATAAAAAAAAAACGTTCTAGTTATTGAAGTCTCTAATATATTTGTCGCGACATTCACGTTTAAAATGATGAGGACTAAGCAAAAAAAAGAACAAAATAAAACATGACAAATATAATAATGTATTGTCATCACCATTTTGACCTGGGTTTGTATCTTTTCTATGTATGTCATTTGTACTTGACATCCATTTCGTTTAATGAAATTTTCTCTATTATCATGCAATGAGTATATACCTCATTGTTTGACATTTCTTTCTCTCTCGTGGAATTATAATCATGATATATATATATATATTTTTTTTAAACTTTTTGATGAAAATAAAATGTGTCGATTAAAAAAATAAAAACACTTTCCCTATATAAAAAAATAATACAATTGTTTTATTAGAAAAATATTTTGTGATTTTCATTATTAAATTATTTTCGGTAGATTTTGTTGTTCTTTTTTTTCTTTTTTTCTATTTTACTTTATATACAAGTGTTACACATTCCTATGTCATCCAACAAAACATTTTTTGTTGTCTATGTACTTTTCTTTCTTTTTCCATAGTTCGTGTTGTTGAAACCTTTCTTAATCGATCTGATAGTTCAATATATTTTTAACAATAATAGCATCAATACACGCGTTTTTTTTCTCATTTTTTCCTGTCAAAAAAGACTATATAATAAAAATTTTCTTTTCTTAATTTGTACAAGAATGAAAAACAAACAAATGTCCGAGTTAAATAAGTATGATGTTTTTTTACGTCTTTAGCATATACCTGTGAACGTTTAGCACACAGTTACAAACCTTGAACCGAAATGATTATGACATTGAATGTCACAATCTGAATATAAATATCAAGAAACAGACAGTTTTTTGTACAAATGTGAGTGGAGATAACAACATAATGACGATTAAGGTCCTACAAGGTGAATATTATAACATCTATCTGTAAAAACAAGAATATGAATAGAGTATACCCAGGGACCGATAAAGACGTAAATTTTTCGTCCACGTGCGCCCATGGATGGTGCCTCAAAAGGTCGATAGGTGCGGATGGACGTTCTGTCCAAGGACGTCCGTGGATAAAAATGTTTTTTTCGTAATAAAATAAGATAAACCTTATTGCCCCATCTTTTTTTGTCTTGCATCAGCGTTCAGTTACTATAAGCCCCACTGCACTGAATATCCGTTCTACTACAGCTATTGTTACGAATAACGAGTGAAGTTTTCGCACGACTTTAGGAGCGAAGTTTTCTCTAAGAAGAAAATTTTTTTTTATTTTCGCTCATGGGCGAATAAAAACGTCCGGAGTCACCCTCTCAAAACTTTTTCCATCCATGGACGCCCGTGACGCAGAAATCCATGGGCGTCTGCGTTCACAACGGTCCATGGTGCTTACAGGTTTGAAAAGCAGTAATCCAGTTATACATACACCGTCATGTTTGAATATCTAAATAAGTACCACTTAGTTGTCTCTAAATATTCGTTCATTATTCAAAATCTAACATCATCTGAAGTCAAAAAAAGCTCACTGTTCCATAAAATATATACAAAATGTTAAAAAAAATAATATTTTAAAAATAATATCACAAAAAATTTACTACAACAAAACATGTCAAAACTAAATTAAATAAAAGTTAAAAAGTTATTTAGAATCTTCTTCAATTTTATACTCGAAAACGAAATTTTAATGAGATATCTCATTTAAGATGTGTGTGCTTTAAATAATGGATGGTAAGATGACAAAAAAAACATTGGATGTAAGATCGATCAGTGAAGGAACAGAGTGAATTATTGAAAATTATATGTTTCTTTTTGTAAAAAAATCAATCTAATGAATAAATTTTTGCTTGATGAGATTATGAGTGCAAGAAGTAAAAATTTCTACTTCTTCATCTTAATATTGAAATTTATTAAGAATACTCTTCAATAAGGACATTGAAAAAAAAGGCAAAATTTATTATACCGGTGTTAACTGAACAAACTCGAACTAATTTCTGCTCGATTCAAAGAATTCTTTGATATACTATTCTAAATACGTCACAAAGTAAATTTCTCACAAGTATACACACTCACCTAATACTGTTAGAGAAAAACATACAAAAAAATAAATAATAATAATAATATTGCATTTAGAAACACAACAACTGTATATAGAAAAATCTTATTCATTCCTCACACGCAAATTAATAGGTCCTTCTATTCTTTTCTTCCTGTTATCAAACCAACTGTTTTTTTTTTTGTTTTTTTATTCAATTTAACACATATGTTGTTGTTCTTAGAATAATCAAAAGCGCGTACAGAACACAAACATTAAAAAGAAAAAAGAAAAAAGAAGAATACAACATTCACCATCAGTAATGCCAGATGTCTCCACTGACAAAACAAAAAATAAAAAAATAAAACAAAAGTCGGAAGATTTTCATTGAAAAAATAGATCAATAATATAATTTGTTTTTACACGCGTAGGCAGATCATAAATGAATAAAACGAAAAAGCAATTTATCGTTTCTAAAACCACGAATATATTTTATTATTTGATATAAATATGATTGTCACATATATGTAAGAATAAAACAAATTATATATATTTATCACACATACGACTTTCATTTTTCTCCTATATAATTTGCTAATATCAATTACTTCATATTTCTTCTGACTTAAGATGCACGTAATGCAAAGAAGTAGTGAATTTTATTTCTCGATGTATTATACATATTCTGATTTGTCAGGTTGAACTGATCACGAATATCAACTTCCTGGCCTTCAAAAACCCTTTCTTCCGGACCAAAATCCCAAAATACTGAAAAAACATTAAAAATGTCAAAATTTTTTGGTTTTGAAAATTCCTTCGCAGTTTTTCTCCAGATGGGTTTAGTAACTTGAACTTATCATTTTTGAATTTCTCGTGGAAAACTGAGTCTAGCCAAGTTCGTTTCAATCTGTAAACCTTAATGCAAAACTTCGGCAAGGCCCAGAATATATGATGGTAGAAAATGCAGACCCTCTGCTAGAAATTCAACTCTGAGTTCATTCGATAGCCCAAACAACGAGCTACAAAGTTATGAAGAGTTTTTTTTTAAATCATTTTTCCCCGATGATTTTACTCGGAAAGGTCAAAGTTCTGACCCTAATGCGCAATTTTCTTCATCAGAACTCAACTTTCACCCAATAAAAACATCATATTCGGAATCAGCGTCAAAAATCGAGTCGAACTTTTTTATCCTATTCGATCACTATAATTTTTTTTGAATTTTCGCGTCGAAGAATTACTGAGATTTTCATCAAAAAATGAAAATCAACGAAAAAGTTTGAAATATATATCATTCGACTCGATTTTTGACGGCGATTCAGAATATGATGTTTTTATTGGGGGATGAAAGTTGAGTTCTGATGAAGAAAATTGCGCATTAGACTCGGAATTTCGACCTTTCCTAGTAAAATCATCGAAGAAAAATAATTTAAAAAAAAGTTCTTCATAACTTTGTAGCTCGTTGTCTGCGTGAAGGAATTTTCAAAACCAAAAAATTTTGACATTTTTAATGTTTTTTCAGTATTTTGGGATTTTGGTCCGGAAGAAAAGGTTTTTAAACGCCAGGAAGTTGATATTCGTGATCAGTTCAACCTGACGAATCAGAATATGTATAATACATCGAAAAATAAAATTCACTACTTCTTTGCATTACGTGCATCTTATCTTATTTCTTTTTCTCGTATATATATATCCAAAATATCAAAAGAAAAAATATTCTGATTCGACTCCGTATTTCCATTAGAGATTTGAAACCCGACTTGTACACGACCCGATCCTAAGATTGGGTACGGATACGGGTTCTATTTCTTTTTAATTTACGCGAAAACTGGAACGTTCTAGTGGAAAACCCACAAAATTTTAGTGAAAAAATACATGAGTTTAGCTAAAATACATGAAGGTTTAAAAAGAATTACTTAAAAACGTAACGATAATTTAACATCTTCAGTCGAAAAATAAAAGTTTTTAGCTGAAAAACAAAAGGTAGAAAATTGTTAGGCATAAGTCGGGTATGGGTACAAAGTTCTCGGGTCGGGTCGGATATGGGCACGAAAATGGTACCCGTGCACATCTCTAATCTCCATCATACATCTTGTTCCTCTTTGGCAATCGGATTCCTATTCATCATAATCCTGATAAACTGATGCAAAAAGTGTTCTTGAAACAGAAAAATCAATCATTCTATTATTGAAAATTGAATCGAATTCTTCTTCGAAATGAAGTTAAATTTAGTATATACGGAATACTTCTCGTCAGTCCATTTCTATTTTAAAAGATACAATGCTTAGTTCTACACTGTTTACCATTCGGAAAAACTATGAATGTAAATGGTTCAAATTTCTCATTAAAAAAAAATAACTTTTTTCCAGTATGCAAAAATTAAGCTATTTGGAATTTTCTAACCAACATAGAAAAATATATAACAAATAAATTTTCTTTTCGTTTCTCTTTTATTAGAATAAATTTAACCTAATAAAAATGTCTTAAATAACCTGAACGACCCTCAAAAATAAATATGTGACAAATCGTTCTTGATATAACAAAAGACGAAAAAGTAACGAATAAATACAATAATCATTCACATAATTGTTTGTCTATTAAAAGTAACACTTACATTATTGATGTAAAATAGTTAATTTTAAAGAGTTGAATAATATATTGTTTGACTTCATTCTTCTTTTTAACTTAATACACTCAGTCAAATAAAAAAACAGTGCGTTGTTGCTTTTGAAAATAAAAAATTAAAAAAAATAATCAACAATGTTTATTATGATACATAAAATGTTTTCACTAAACATTGCTCGACATAATATCGAAGTCAAATCGGGCTTTGAAAATTGAAATGTCATTAAAAAAAAATGTCTAGACTAACTATTGATATTTAACATCTCTGATTCGAATTCTATACTCACAATAAAAATAATTATAAACCGTTTAAAGATTATATTGAATCTGAATACAAAAAAAGATGCATTTTATCATTGTTAATACTATTCTATTTCTTAGCAGTATAGTTAATTGATGGTTTTTCCTATTTTTTCTTGAAAATTATTACTAGACATCTGTTAGTAATGCATAAAAAAATATTTCTCGAACTCTGAGCCATATACCAGTGAGAACAACACAAATATGTAAATGATTTTGAAATAGAGAATACATAGTCAAAAAAAGATATTGACATGACAATATTACAATATATTAATTAAAATATCAGTCAATAATTCAAAAAAACAAAAATAAATAAAAAATCTATACACAATGAAACAATGTGCTTACTACAAACTTTTGGTTCATAAATTAAAAGAATATTCATAAAGTCGCAAAACTTAGGATTACGACAACATAGTTTCTCTATAAGTCAGTTGTCTTTTTCTTACCCTATCAAACAAATACTATTTTACTTCTTTTTTTTTTTTTTTGACAGTATATCCAATGCAAAAATGAAATTACGCTAATCAATCTATAGAAGGATTGATCAATAATTTTGACGATGTGATAATGTATCCAAGACGTTCTTCTCAATTTTATTATTATTTTTTTCTCCTTTCCCGTGTGTTATTTGTAACATCTAACTTAGACATCTACCCACAAAAGGATAACCGCAACTTTTTTTTCTTTTTTCCCTTTTCTTTCTCTCTCGCTCGAGTTGAGATACATATGGATAAAACTCATCTTAAATATGTACATAATTGTGTAGAGGATAGATGTGTGGATGTTTCATAAAGTAGAGAGAGAAAAAAAAAAACCAACAAAAATGTCTAAAGCACACACGTAGCAGAACATTTTGTCTGATAAGATTCTCTCTTTGTTTCGTCATTCAATATTTTTTTTCGATTAATTTTTTCATACGCACACACACACACAAAACACCTAAAACAAGATTTTTATCTTATTCGAAAAAAAAAAATTTTTTTTCTTCAGATACAATACGTCAACAAACAATAAACATTCCGTCAGAGAGAAAAATAAAAAAGAAGGAGTACTCTCATTAATGTGTACATATATACCTCTTTACTAACATTCTATTAAGTTCGACGTGAGAAAGGAAGATGTAACCCAACGGATTTTGTCGTTACCACCGCAGACATAAGTGTAAATATTCTCGATATATAAATATGATACATACAAGAAAAAGAGAGGAAGAGAAAGAGAAAGAAATAACTTGTTTTATGTGTCTCAGTACATCAGTGGATCATTTCAGAGAAGAAAAAAAAAAAGGTGAATAACAACAAAAGAGAAATACTAGACACTCACATGACAAGAAGAATCAAAATGGAAAACAATTTGTAAACTTACTTGTGAAATATGAATACTAGAGAAAAGAATTATCCCATTTCTAAGAGTCATTCTTCAATAATCATTAATAGAACCAATAGAGAGAGAGCGAGAGAAAATATACATGCAATATGAACAAAAAACAAATATAACAAATAGAGATTATACTTTTCATCAGACTTTACATGACTGAAACAAAACAGATGATCCATATAACCTTGTGTTATCAAGTTCACTGTCATGTATGAGGAATGAAAGTCACATTCATCAAAAAAACCGACAAAGAGCATAAGATGGAATTAAATAAATAATCACAACACTCACCTGTCACTTTTAGCAGTTCATTCAGCAGCAACTTCATAGATTTATTAGAAAAATGGTATCTTTCATGCAACTTACTTCCACACTATGGATTGAAAAAGAAATTTAATATCCAAAATTATTATGTACAAAAATTTCCATCAGTGCTTGAATAACTCGCCCTTGCTCGTACTTGAAATATATCTTACTCATTCGGTTCTCATTACAAGAGAAAAATTAAACAATACTCATTTACCTTGGAAGAAAACAAAAATAGTAACACTTAACTTCTATACAATCTTAGAGGATTAGTATCTTTGACTCTAAAACTAAGAAGAAGAATAAAAGAAAGATTTTAAATCTAAAAGAACAACGGATGTTCTCTATTAGTTTCTGATAAATGTAATCTCATAACACGGATTTTAGTATTACAGCATATTGATGAACTATTTCTTCCTTTTTTTTTGTCAGAATATTAGATAGGAGATGTACTGTCGACTTTGTTTACTGCAGAAGAATTCAATAAATAACAAAGCCTTCACTTATATTTTCAGAGGCTGCTTCTTGAATGAGTACAAGCTACTAAAAACAATAATTATCCTGTCTTCTGTTTTCCAGTCAACTTTACACATAAACGTGAAAGTTCTACCATTCACCTTTATTCTTAATCAGTATTTTCTAACGAAAAAATTTAATCAAAGGTTACCATTACATTTTTTCTACTAAAAACAGAGTAAAAACCAAATTTCCAAAACAGCAGCGTATCCAGCACTAGGCCAAGGATGACCTACCCCTTAGAAATTTCGTTTTCTTCAACTGGAAGTAGAAAAAATATTTTGATTAAAACCGAAAATAAAAATACTGCACACGAACTTTTTTCTTTGCCAAAAAAATAGATTTGGCCCACCTCTTACTAGAATTCTGGGTACGTCACGGTTCCAGAATAGAAATCCATTTTACTCTTGCTTGATCTACGAATTATTGGAAGCCCTGTACTTTCTCTTGTCTCTCCGTTTTCCGTAGATTTGAAAACGTAAAACGACAGCAAAAGATTCAAACTAGAATTAAATAAATTAAACTTGAATCTAATTTTACTTAACAACTTTTTTGTACAATTCGCTTGCAAAGAACAGATAAGTCTTTGCTTATCATTTGTGATCTAATCAACAACAAATAGCAAACAAACACAAAAAAAAGCGATGATCTCTGAGGATGATCTAGTTAGCCATTCATATCAATGTGAACACATGACAGAAAATAAATATTTTTTGTTAAAAAAGTGTATAAAGCTATTCTACAATACACTTTACTCGTACGTATAACTAAATCATTTTTCGGAAACCGACATGCACATATGATTTGCAAATTATATTCTGAATGTATGAAGGATTCGCTTCCCTACCACTATAGAAGTGAGCGACTAATGGCCGCCTGTAAAAAGTGTTTTTCTTAAAAATAAACCGATGATAAATTTCGCATCTGGAAACAGTAGCACAAATCTCTAGTTAATTATAAAGAGACTTTGGTGTAATGTAAAGTTTCTATGAGTAATATAAACTATAAAAAACTGAATGGTTAGTTATTACCCAATGTTTGGAGTCAGTAATTCGATGACCGGTAAAAAAAGATGAATGCAGTACTGTTTGCGAAAAATTTGAGTACGATATCATAATCTAAGTGTACTTAAATTGTCTTAATTTTCAATGAAGGAATAATTACACACGTGACAGAGTATAGTTATCAGTATACGCTATCATTTTTTATATTATTAGTCATTGAATTACTGATATCTGAATTTCAGATTTCAATTATGGCTAATACAAAGCTTAATTATGATTCAAGTCTCCGGTATGTTTGTCGAGAGAGGGAGATCTTGTCAAATGTATTAATCTTGCTTAAATTTCTAGTTCAAATGATGATATAGATAATCAAGAGTTAGAACACTTTCTCGAACAAAAGAATAATGCTAATAAAAACAATCGTTTTTCACATGAAGTAGCATCCAATACAATAATTGATTCTTTAGCAAAAGAATGGTGGTCTAAAAAAATGCCCAATTGTGTAATCAATGATTTGATCGAAGATTTGATTCCATTATTAGTATTGGGGTGCGAGAAAGTTGTCAAAGAAGCGGATGAACGCAATTTAATCAATACAAATGCGCCTGATCGACAATTCAATCCTGTTAATTATCTAGCACAATATTTAATGCGAAACAATCCAAAATATTTAAGATATGCTCAAACATCACCCTATCGTTATGCCATGAAACAATTACACGAACATTGTAAAGTTGAAGTGTTAAAAGTTTTTGGAGAAGAGTAAGAATGTCATGAATTGACAGTAAATACAAACTGTTATTATTTTTTATTTAGGGAAACATTATTACACGATTTACTGAAAAAACGTCAAACAGATCGAATGGCTAATCGTGAGACAACAACATCAGAAGACAGTCGTCGACGTGATTTATTGAAATCAGCATTTCATGATTGGAATGTGAATGAACGTGGTTGGATTGAAACAAAACTAGTATATAATACTATTAAGGAAAGTTTATGTTATATCTATCGTTGATCTAAATTATCTTTTAAGATCAAAAATATGCTCGAACAAACAAATGATTATTACCAACATCATTCAACAGAAGAAAACATTCAACTAGAAGTAAATCCAAATCATCAAGCATTTCATTCCCATAGAATGCATATAGACAGTTTTACTGAAGTATGTATATTTTATTATAACTTTTTATTTGGATGTTTTCATTATTTTAGTTTACAGGGTTTTCTAGAAATATTACGCTCTGTTCCACATGATTTGTTTAATAATATACTGGCATTATTTAGCAAATGTGCAAAACAATATCGAGATCAAGTAGATGAACATGAAATTGACTTGTTATTTCAACGTTTATTTAAAATTTTAGATGATAAACATGTAAGTAAGTACAAACAAAAACATCTTTTTATCCAGTTAAATTGATGACTTTTTTCCTATTTTAACTCTATTTTTTAGATTGGTTATCTATTTCGTTCTAATGTTATGAAAACATTGGATACATTTTATAATTCAATTGACCCAGATAATAGAGTAAAAGTGAATGAACCAGATAAATGTAAGAAATTTTCAACACAAAACTGAAGTAGAATTCTTTAACATCAATAATTGTTTTCTAGGGCCTGTTGTAAAACCAGTATTATTTCAACAAAAAACGGATGAAGTAGGTTCAGTAACAAATCGTTAAAGATGTTCTATGTATCCTTGTATATTTAGAATCGAAAGAAATCATCTATTAGTACTCCTGATATTGATATCGATGGAACAAAAACACCAGACGATAATAATCGAGTGAAGTCCGATGATCGAAATACAAATAGCGAAAAAACTGATCAGGTGACAATTGAACAACAAGAAAATGAAAATGAAAAATCACAGCATGGTAGCAGTGCTAATACACTTGATGATGAAAACGATCAACAAACACGAACCGATACGAATACATCACCTTATTTGGATTTAAAAGATGTTAATGCGTGTAGGTTGATCATTTTTTGCAATATTATAAAATAATTTTCTTGATATTTTTATTTTGTTTAAGATGATCCGCAATTTCGTTATTCTAAGATAAAAGAGGCAACAAACAATCTAGAATCATTGACATTTTTATCTAAAAACGAATCATTTCCATTTCATGAACGTTTAATTAATGAAGAACAATTTTGTGCACTATTGAAAGCATTTATTGGCAATGAAAAGGATGAATTAACCACTACGGCACTTGTTGATTTTTTCAAAACACTTTATAATGAAACACCCGAAGAAAAAACAGATAAAAAAGATAGTGTATGATAGGATAAAATTCACTCAAATAAATACTTCAATTTGTTATTCTTGTTCTTGTTTTTTGTTTAGATCATTCAGCGTGAAAGAGAGAGACAAATGAGAGTAGCAGCCGATACATTATTTGATAAAATTGATAATACAACACTTGGTTCGATTAAATTCGAACCGATTGCAACTATTCTTAAAGAATATAAAGATGAATCAGTTCTTGAATATATTCAGCCTAGTATGCACACATAGACTTACGAGAGAATTTTCTAAGGTGTAGATCTATATGGATTATTTCTGATGCTGTTCACAAATCTGATACCGTCCTATATGAATCGTGTCTCTATAGATCTGAGTTACACTTCAGATGAAGAGACTCTAATTTGACCGATCTATAGAGGAGATTAAGTTACCTATGTGGAAAAGTTTTGGAGACTAACAAACAATTTTTTAATTCCGAATTATATATTTTTTTTTACGAAAAATTATAATTGTTTAGAAGAAATACTTCTCTCAATTAGCGTGATTTTAAAAAACTAAAATATGCATAACTTGACGAAAACTTATTCGTTAGTTCACAAAAATCTCTCCACATAGGTAACTCGACATTCTCTACAAATTGGTCAAATCAGAATCTCTTTGACTGAAAGTATAGTTCAGATCTGTAACCGGATCGGCACTAGGAAATCATACGAATAAAAACAACTATCAGGCTCATGATCAACATTAAACATAACCCTAAAAATATATGTTTCCTCAAAATTGTGGAAAATCACCTAAGAAGATTCTATCGTAAGATATTAGAATTGAAAAGGTTATTTATGTATCTGTTTATTTAGTATTAGACGCCTATAAAGAAAATCAATCATTAACAAAAGTTCGTGCTATATTCTTGGTAGTTCTATTGGTTTAATCTAATATGATCAAAAATATTATTTTAGACACAATTTTATGATATACTGGTTAGAATTCATAAAATAGTTCATGCAACACAAGAAGAAACATTTGATCAATTACTGAAATTTATTGAAAATAGACAACCGGTAAAAACAATAACCAGTGTGTCATAATCTTACTTATCTAATATTAAAAATATTATGTTTAGATCAATCGAAACGAACGCGATCGTGCCGATTTACGTCATCAGTGGTTGAAAAAACTGCGTGATATACCCTATCGTACATTAAACGTTTTGTACAAAGAAGTTATTGATACTTTAAAGAAAGTAAGTAGATCAATATCCTGTAAATATAATGAAAGATGCGTAGATATGTTGTCTCGAGTTCATAAACAAATCGATTATTTTGGTTTCATCTATTATTTTATAGCTTTTTTCTTCAAAAAAAAAAATATTCAGTAAATAACTACTAATGAGAATATTTTATGTATAGATCATTGATATTCATCATTTTTAGAAAGTATGAGTAAAGATATTAAATAAAAATCTGGTAAATTAAAATGGTCATGATTGAACAAAAAACGTTTCTTTTTAGGATGCTGAAACATTTGGTGGTCAAAAATGTATTAATGCGTACATTGCACTATTAGAGCGTAATACAGAAAAAACTCAAAATTCTATTCGATACGTAGCTACAACTGCTGATAATGCTGATCTTCTTTTGGGTCAAACATTGACACGTGGTCAAGGTATATCATTTCAAGTAATGGATAGTGGTAAACCAACGTATATTTCACAAACAAAAAATAATTCACGTATCCATTTTTTTGATGAAAATGTTAAATCAAATAATGGTTCATTTGTACTTATACCATTAAAACGAACTGTTCGTGCAAAATGTAATGGTTGTCTGGGTATCGATACTGTTCGAGATAAAAAAGAAAAAGCATTTAGTAATGATGAAATACAATTTTACCAAGTAAAAGTTTTATTATATTGAGAGAAATATCAACTTTTTTGTTTAACTCTTCAAACCGAGTCCCCAAGGCTTTAATGTTTGCTTTTGGATCACTACTTATGAAAATACAACATATGAGACCTCGATATGACCCTCTCGCACCGAAAAAGATTACTTTTCATTTGTGAAAAGGTTACGTTTTTATAATTTAAATCTAAAATCAAAATTTGAAAAAACTTATTTTTGTCTAAAATTCTAGTTAGAGTCCAAACATATCTAAGTTTAGACCATTAAGTTTGAGAAAGTTGAGACAGAAAATGAGCTAAGATGGTGACGAAAATCAAGAAGACTAAGAAAACGAGCCCAAAATCTCAGCAAAATATGACCTATCATTTTGTACCATCAGCAGTCTAACAGTTTAAACAATAATTTCTTTCGTTGACATAATTTGAAAGAGCACACCTCCCTACATATTTTTGAAAAGTTATTGAATAAAAAGTTTTCCTCAAGTATCTAAAAAACTTAAATTAAAAACTTTATTTTTTTCGAAATATTCTTCATTTTAAAATATAAATATCTCGGCTAGCATAAAACATAAACAAAATATTTTTTTACCATTCGATAGCTCATTTAATTCTCTACAATCAATATAAGATTAAATTTTTTAAAGAATGCTTCCTGAGTTTGTTTATTATGATAATATCATTTGAATGAACATTAGGCTTTAAAGGGATAAAATTATAACTTTATTTCATTTAGGCTGTTGCATTAGCATTCTCCGAAACATTTGGTTATGTTGAGTTTGATGATTATATGAATACTGTTATTTCACGTGCATCTTACTGGATGAATGTTCGTTGTACATCGGTACGTAACATCGTAGGATAGTCTTTCATGTATCAACATGCTATTTTCAATTCATCCGTTAGATTGTTACAATGGATTATTATACATATGAACCGTTGACAATGAGCAATCCAAAAGAACGTTTACTTCGACATGTAATGACAAATTCAAATCAAAAAATGACTATAGTTAATGAACCATCAACAATTGATATTAAAGAACAAATATTTAAGTATGTTTTATCATTTACTCTTTCTAAAATACTAGAATTTGTTTTTTTTTCTTTTTAATAGATACCGATTAGAACATGCTGCTTCAATTTGTCAGCCAACTATTACCACATTTCTTGATGAAACACATTTGATACAACCATTGCATGGACGAGATGGTTATTGTTTTGCCTTATTGGATGTGAATATTGGTGAAAATAAGTCATTACCACTAGATCAAAACATAGTATTTATGCAATTGTGTCGATTGATTTATTTTGCCGTTTATGAATTAGAAGAAGAAATTGTTGATGGAACATCACAACGATATTTGTATTGCGAACAACATTTTGATGAAAATCGAATTAAATTTTTATTTGATCGTTTATGGTACAGAGATCTTTGTGATCGTCTCGTTACAATGCCATTAGAAAGTGTACGCGAAGTTATTGATAATTCAACTATATCCGATGATATGAAAAAATTATTAAATATTATTGGAAATCTTGTTATGGGAAAAAATAATTTCACTGTTAAAGATGTGACCAATAATAATTTATTTTCAAATATGTCAAATTTTGATCCAACAATAAAGAATGATAAACATACGGATACGTGGAATAAAGCAGAAAATATTTTGAAATCTATCAATTCAGCATTATTAATTCAATCCGAAGTACCAATAGCCATCATAATGTATGATTGGCTAAATGTCAGCTTAACACTCTATAAAATGACCAAAGTCCAAGAAGAAATGCAATAGACAATACTTCAACATCTTTTTCATGTATATTTTTTTATCTAGAACTATTTTTTATATTCTGATATTTTCAAATGTCCTAAACCATAATGACAATTTTAACCATTCAATTTATAAGAAGAAGAAAAAAAACAGTACAAAAATAGATACACTATTCTATACACTCAATATTAACAAGGATATTAGAGACGCAAAATTTGAACATGTAAATGGTCATTCGATGAAAATGATCGTTGTGAGTCTGTTTTAGATACAAAAATTTTTGAATATGAACCACCAACAATTTTTTCACTTTTAATTAAACGTCCAGTATTTATTACACATACAGAATCAACAAACTAAAAATAAAAAAAAAATCAGAAAAAAAATGATTTACTTGTTTCTCGATAGTTGAAATATTTTTCTCCTACTTTGATAAATTGTTTTAAATCAGATGTTGTAATTAAAATATGTGGCATAAATGGAATCGATGCATAATCCATTGCGTATCCATATTCAATTGAAATAGATTCATGAGGTGGACATAATGGATAAAACCTGAAACGATATAAAATTTAGAAAAAAAAAAATCATCATCTTTAATTTAAGCAAACAAAAGGTACATACAATCGTTGTTGTAATAAATGTTTTGTTAGACGAGACATGCGATCACTATTCACTGGATTTCTAAAAACAAACAAACAAACAATAGAATTAGAAGAATTGATGAGTCTTGTGATAATTTTTATTTACGAGCTAATTTCTTCTGAACATAAATGAAACAATACGTCAGTTGATGTTATTGCACACTGTAAACCATTAATAGACAATAAACAGGGTTCAGGTGCATACATAATTTTCTAAAATATTTATAAAAAATTGCTATTTTCAACAAGAAGAAGAAAAATGAATACTGAATCTACCGAATTTTGGTCTATTGTTTGAAATGGATAACATGGATAAACAGAATCGTGATGAATATCACGTACAGACGGTATCAACACAACATTAAGACATGTTCTAAATTTACCAAAGAAAAAAACTCATCTCCTATTATCATGAACGGTCACTTTCACATACCGTTTAATTTCATTAATAATACTATGAAAAATTTCATCATAAGTTTTATCGGTTAATTTTTGTACATAACTTGACCGTTCATCAACAAATGGACCAAGCTAAAACAGAAAAAAAGTGAAAATACAACATTCAACAACAAGAGAAATGATCTTACCAATATCAGAACGGTTGGCCGATCGATGTTCGCTCTTGAAAGTAATTCATTCAAGGCACTAAAATCACCGTTGGCTAGTAAAAATGGTCCAGCAGCCACCATCAGAGTAAAATCATTTTTTATAGTTAAAGTTGGAGCTATAGGTGGTAGTGTAGGCTATAAAAAGAATAAAAGAACATAACATATTTGTAAAGAAAATCCGACAGACAAGCAAATGTTTTTTTTTTGGGAGGGGGGGGGGGGTGGTTAATTATTTTTGAATTTTTATACGAAATTTTTAAATTTAAATTT